ATTAAAAATAATGTATAAAATTTCATTCTTTTATATATTATTTGAAATTATATTATAATATAATGTTGTATATAGAAAATATTTTTAAAATAAATTTTAATTTGTAATATTAAATTATAGTACTGTCAATATAAATATTAAAAGAAAATTTATTTAGAATTAAATAAAATAAATTAAAAAATACGAATGTTCTATACCTTTCATAATACAGCGAATGTTTCTGACTTGAAGTATTAATTAATTATATAAATATCCTGAAAAATATTATACAATATTTAATTATATAAAAGACATTGATAAAAAATTAAAATTATTTAATTTTATATTAAAATAAAATATCTTACACTATAATTACTAGAATTTTGAATTAATTAAAAGCATGTAAAACTGTAAGTCCTTAGGCTCGATTCTTAAGTGATATAAAAAAATTTTATAAAATAATTTATTTACTTAATTATAAAGTTTTGTAAGATATAATTGCATATATTTAGAAATTTCAGTTGTTGAAAATTTGATTCGTTGATATTCTGACGCCATTTGTCAATCCAAAAATCGATTGTCGATTATCAAATCTATTCCAAACTTGAAGCTGCCGATCTGCTACTATGTTAGTCATGTAACTTGCGAACACCAGTTAATGCAACGGACACGTTAATGCACGTTGTACACCGGTAAGTAATCGGTTGATGTAATGAATCATTTATCGTCTTTAAAACTTATTGTATGTTTAAAATATAATAAAGCTGTATAAAATTTGTTTTTAGATAATTCTTGAAATCGTGGAATGATATGGCACCCCGTAAAGCTGCAAAACATTCAGATACAGAGGTTGTAGACAGAGCAGCGGAAGCCGGCGATGTGTCGCCTCCGAAAAGAAGAAAAGCCGTTGCAAAAAGTGTGAATAAAAATGATGAAGAGAGGCAAATTAGACTGCCAAGAGCTGCGAAATCTACAAAAATCGAGCAAATAGAAACCACAGATACGAGTTCAACTACAACTAAAAACACAAAAACAAAAACTAAGACATCATCGATTACTAAAAATGCTTCCGCAAAAACGAACTCTAAAGTCAAGTCTATGGTAAAGAAGAATAAAGAAATAGAAGAAAAACTTAATGCAAGTCCTGTGAATATAGATATTGCGAAAAATACTGAAGAAATTGAAATAAAAAAGACACGTACCAAAGCTACGATAAAAAAGGCGGGAATAGATGTGGATGAAGAACGTACGTATTTAAAATTTTTTTATGAGTTTTAATATTACTGTTTGTATTTAACAAATAATAATTTACGAAAACATAAACGCTTTCTTTATCAATATTTTGCTACTTATTTGATTTTTAATGTAACATGATGATTATACAATAATAAATTTTGGACAAATTCTTTAAATATGTACCAATCATATAAAAAAATTTTTTATTTTTAAGTATATAAATTTTATATTACATACAATTTTAATTTTACATTAAATTATTTAGAATATATATGATAAATAAAAATCTTTATAAAAGTTCCTTTATAAATATATGTATATGAGGAATTATAATATAATATATTAATACATGTTAATATAATAATGTAATAAATATGTATATAATTTATATTTATTTATTTATATATATAATAATTATATTTTTATTTTAGCTAGAGGAAAATCAAAGGGAAAAGCAAAAAAAGAAGCTGTCAATGAGAATATTGAAAATTTAGAAGCACCAACTGTTAAAAAAAAGTCAGCAAATATTGAAATAATATCAAAGGATAGTAATCCTAAAGCAAAAATAATAAAGAAACAAACTAATATAGATGCTGAAATAAAAGGTAAAGGTACCAATAAAGGTGCTAATAGAAGTAAAGCTGCTATTAATAATGAGACTGAAAATAATGATAAAACTGAAGAATCTATAGTATCTATAAAGACAAATAAAAAATCAGTTGATGATAAGTCCACAAAAATAACAGTAGCAAAAAAAAAAAGAGGCCGTAAAAATGAAATTAATGCCGAAAATATTTCAAAAGATGATGGGGAATCAAAAGCAATAGAAGAATCATCTTCAGAATTAATGCAAACTAGTGATAATGAAAATCAAGAAATTCAAAATAATCAATCAGAAGAAACAGAATCAATTCAAACTAAAAAGGGAAGAAATGTAAAGAAAAAAGAAACATTACCAAAGAAAGTTACTAAAATACGTGGTAAAACTGCTAATCGTAATACTGATGCTGGTTCTAATGAAGATGATACTGATGTAACAAAAACAATTAAAGAAATACAAAAGAAAACAAATAAAGAATTTATATCTTCAATAGCTACTACAAAAAGAGGACGAGGAAAAACCTCGGAAAATAATTCGTCAGAAATATTAAATAGTAATAACAATGTGCAAAAATCATCAGAAGAAGATATTGATAAAAAGCTAGATTCAGAAAAAGAAGAAACAAACAAAATGTACATTAAAATGTCAGGAACACCTAAAAAGACAGATGAAATACTTGTGATTAAGAATCAAATAAATGAAAATAATGTAATAAGTACATCGGTACATGAAGAAGAAATTTAATGCTGTATGTTCTATTTTTTTTTTTTTTTTGACATGTTTCTTGAAAAAATATATCATTAATATTTTAATATATTTGATAAAGATAAAAATATCTATGAGTATTTCTGTGTTTAGGAATACTAAAAAAATATATGTTTTAGAACTTCAATAATACATTTTGGTTAAATATGTAAACAATATTTTGCAACATGATTATTCTTGCGTTTTCTTTGAAGTATTTTGATAATATAATTTTGAAATCCTCTTGTTAATATAAGAGATTTAATGACGAAAAAATGTTATTTTTAATGATAATAATATTTCATAAAAATATCTCTTAATATATTTCTATAATAGTTCTATTAAATTTTAAAAACAATAATCATTGATAATTAAATTCATTTCTAACACAGGAATGCCAGTGTTTTTCAATAGTATATTGCTAAAAAATTTTTTTCAATTTTTTTAATTATCTTTAATTTCATTTAAAGATAAAAGTTGGAATGTATCAAAAGATTTATATATAAATTATACCAACAAAGCATATTTTATAATGTTCTGTAGCATATCAAACAGATTATCATAAATAACCACAGTTGTTGTTTTTTATTATATTTTTATAATTATTAAGTAAATATTTTTGAATTAAATTCTACAAACATTGAAAAAAAATAAGAAAAAAATATAACTAACCCTTTTTATATTGAATTATTTTGAGTTAAATAAATATTTACATTCATATTAATAATTTGATTATGATTAATAGTTTATAATATTTACATTCTACATTTTTGTGTTTTCTTTTTTTATAGTAAAGTTATTTTTAATATTTGACGAAAATATATTATTTCTGGGATAAATTATATTTTATTTAAATATTATTTAAAATACTTTTTTTTGTCCAGATATAATTATTTTAATATATATAGTATTTTTAATAATAAGATTTTGCATTATATGTTCGCATACTTAAATATGTATATAATATATTTATATACGTACATAAATCCACAAATTGGTACAAATATATTTCGTAAATATATTTACGAAATAATTAAATCAACTATTATTATTAAAAGTACTTTGACATGCTTTTAATATTTTAATAATTCAATATTCAAGTTTTTGTAATAAAAAATAATTTACTATTTATTTATTATTTCTTTTTTAATTGAACTAAAATTAATTTATATCATATCAGTTAGGATTTTTTAAGCAATTACTGTAATTGTAATTGCGTAGATTAATGTAACCTATAATATTAATGCATATTTTAAGTAATAATAATAATAATAATAATAATAATAATAATAATAATAATAATAATAATAATAATA